AAAAAAAAAAAAAAAAAAAAAAAAGAAAGGAAAGTATGTGAAATATATTTAGTAATTTACGTTAGCTTTAAATTTGTATTAAAATACATAGTAATTAGTTATTCCTCCACTGTATGCCTTTCGAATAACCGAAATGTTTAAGACTTGTGTTTCTAATTGCTAACGAAGGGTATTATTCCTACTGAATAATTGTACAATATACGAACATCTTTACACGCATTTCAAGTACTCACATTCTGTACAAAAATTTATAACTACTAACTAATAAACAAATTTCGGCAATGAGTTAATTAAACTTATAGTTGATTTCGTGTTTATCTTTCTTTCTCACGAAGAAACGCTGAATTTATTTATTCAGTAGAAATCTTTTTTTAAAAAAAGACATAGAGTAGCTTAGAAATTTTAATTTAATTCGATTGTCGATTGGTATCGAATCGTTTATGATGGCAATGTTTAATAAACATAATGGCGATTCAAGCAGCTCTGAAGATGAAATATCAAAAGATGCATTAAAAGAAGCGATAGATCATCAATTTCTGAAGAATGACTATTTCTCCAACGAAAAATTTCAAAATTCAGATGTTTCAAAGAAAACAGATGAACATAGTAAGTATATTATAACCTCACTTTCTCTTTTGCTTTACATCTTCTACTTCTTGTCACAGAAAATTAAAATAATTCTCTATTTTTAGATAATTTGACAGAAGACATTCATGTGAGAAATCCCGTGTCATTAAGAAAGGATTTAAAAGAAAAAAAAACATTTTCCAATTTTGGTGTGAGTCCAACATTTCAAAGTTTTGTTGCAAAAAAATTGGATGAAATAATAGAGAAGTACGTAACTAATTTAACAAAAAAAACTATCAGCTTCAGAATGAACTAATACATAATAATGTTATATAAGTTTTTAAATTTTACATATTTATCTGTCATATATTAATCGTAAGAAAATTTTTCCATCAGATCAATCAAAATAAAAAAGAAAGTAAATAGTATTATAAATGAGAAAGAAGGCAAAGACAATAATTATGGTATAAAGTTACTGAATTCCTCTGTGGAGTTTTTAACGACTGAAGAAGAAGATGAAAAGCCTCAAAGAAAAAGAAAAATTGAAGCAACTATGGATGATGAAACAAATTTGTTAAAATGCAAACAAGTAGCTGTGAATCCTGAACAAATATTATCAAAAGTAGAGACTAAAGCTTGGACAAGTAGAAGGAAAGGACCTGAATTCAATTACAAACAATTGAAGAATGGTATTTTGGTTGAAAAAACCTAAGTCATAGATTAAGTCCAATTTAATATAAATTAATCTGTAATATATATAAATAAATATTTTGTGTATAAATTCTATTATTTAAAAATATTTATTTTTCTTCCCTTCTTATTGTATAATGATATAATTGAACATTTTTATCACTGTATTGTGTTCCATACTTAATTTGAATATGTCACGATACAGCATAGATATTTAAGTAACAGGCTTGATATTTATGAAATTAATGAGTTGATAATAACCCATGGGCCAACGTTAATAGATTATACATTAAAATTTTAGAGTAATATACGACAAAACTATGGATTATCAAGGAACAAGTTCTAATACGGATAATATTTGTAAATTGTACGTATTTTATTTCTAACCTCAAACTGTGTTTACAAACACATTGGTATTTGACAATATAAAATTGCATAAATATGTTATAACTTTATTTATTAATTTTTAGGTGTAATGTACGACCTTGTATATATACTTGTCCACGATGTGAAATAAGATATTGCAGCTCTATTTGCTATAAATCAGAAGCACATTCAGAATGTTCAGAAAGTTTCTATAAACAATGTGTAATAGATGAAATAAAGTCTCACGGAAAAGACACAGAGGATAGAAAGAAAATGTTAGAAATTCTCAAAAGAGTACATGAGGAAGATATAAAAAATATGGAAGCATTAGCAAGCGATGATGAGATTGATAATGATGAGTTAGAAGAAGAACTTGATTCAGATGATGACAATGATGTGAGTTGAATTTATGTTAATATTATAAACAATATCTTTCCTTCATCTTTGTTCAAACTACTGTATTTTTTAGATACCAGATTTAGAAAGGAGGCTTCATAATATAAATTTAGATAATGCAGATGAAGTATGGTCTGCATTAACAGATGCTGAAAAGCAGGAATTTGAAGCTCTGATAAAAAATGGTGATGTAGAGAAATTTTTACCTAAATGGATTCCATGGTGGACATATCATACTAAAAAGAAACTTGTGCAAGATATGGATCAAAAAGATGATGAACAACAATTGAAACTGCCTCCTCTAATAGATGTTCCAATACTTAAGGCATTGCAAGTAATCTTCAAAATAATTTACATACTTAAATCTAATTGCAGAAAAACTTCAAATATATTATTAATTACAGAAAGCTTCTCCAAATATTGAGTTTAATGTAGTAAATGTAATGTATGCATATGCATACATGGCGAACTATCATAATGGTGACTATTTAAACTGTCCATTAGAAGCTACGATTGTCTTTCTTGATCTTAGTGATAATATGAAACTTAATACAGTCTATGAAAATTCAGAATCAGCAATAGCTTCTGTTGTTCACAAAATTACTAATGTAAGTATTATAACATTTAACACTTAGAAAACAAGTAATACAAAAATTTAAATACTTATTTTCAGTGTAATTGGTTATCACAAGATGAACAAACTGTATTAGCTTTTAAGGAAGCTGGTAATACAATAATGCAAGGACCTGATAAGAAGAATGAATATCTCTATGTTGCTGTTGCACTTTCAGAATTACACAGATTATTAACAATGACAACAGAAGAAATATTGAAATATAGAAGTAAAAACGCGAATAAAGAATTTTTCAAAAAATTTGTTCAAAGGAATAACGTGGATAATATAAATTTATCAAGAAAACAGCTTCTTTTACACCTCAAGAAATTGGAATACTATTTATCATGGATTAAAAATCGCCATATAAATACTTGTACATAAAATTATTTAACAATTAATGATTCATTGTGAGATACTTTTAAATAGATTTTAAATTTTTATATTTCCAACCATAATTTCATGATTAAAGAAAATTCACTCACCGAATCCTCTTCTTTAGCAGTATATCTTCTCAATAATTCCACTTTTCATACATTTAACATGACAACACAAATTTTTCAAACATTAAAATTAAGAATTAATCTGCACGTTAACATACATGTTATTGCTGTTAAAAAATGCAAAATTCAAACTCTAACTTCGATAAATGGAATCGATATATCGATTTCTTATTTATCTTATCACGAATATAATCGCAAATCTATTCTAATATTTCGGGCGTGAATTTTAAATACAAAGATATTTTAATATTTTAGCTTATTATATGCTATTTACTTATAATATACTACTCATTTTTAGTGAAAAGAACATTACTCGTGATAAATTTGAGTTAATATTCTTTCATAGTTAGCAATTTTGCTAATACTTAATCTATTTATTAAATTTTTAAAGTAATAAAACGTATTTTAAAATTAATTAGAAATTATTCCACTCGTTATAAATTTTTATTAAACTAATTAATTTATATGTATATATATATAACACATCACACAAATGATTGTTGATTAATTTTTATCTTCTTAATTATCGCATTGACAAAATTGAATTCCCTAATTTACTTTTTGGCTTGCATTGAATTCCTAAAACTGTTACTACACAGTTAATTATATTTTATATTTATATGAAAGAAATATTAATATATAAATATATTGCATTGTAACATTAATATATAAACATAAATATATTAACAGTTAAAACTTAATATCACTAGTCTTTAAAAAGCGAGAATTTCTGTCACGAAGTAAATATCGAATCTACGATCGATAGGTCGAATAGCGAAAGGCGGTCTGTCAGTGGGATAAGCAGACGATATTTACAGGAATCATACGGCAAGTGGACAGTGGGCAAAATGGTGGCAGATGAGAAATTATTTTTCTCGAGAGCCGTCCAACATTTAGCTAGATGTTTAGCGGCGATCAAACCTACACCATGGGAAAAGGTATGTTGATTATTGATCATGTATTTCACATTAACGTAATATTTACTCATTAGTAAAAATCTTGACATTTTATTAGAATTAGGTTAATTTTAAGGACGTGTCAGCTGATATCCTGATATGTCATCTCGTGATATAATTCGAAGGACATTCTAGTAATCAACTCACGCATTAATGAAACGTTTGCAGTCGATCATTAATGTCATTCCATTGCTAAACAAATGATTTCTAACATACGTTTTAGACATCATTCACTGTTTAAGAAATTGTTTTTGTAGATACAATTTTACAATAAAAATTGCGCGATATATACACGTATATTTTTTATTCAATCTTAAGAAATTTACTTTTTGTGTTTCGATTAATTCATAGAATTTACTTCAACTATTAATTTATGAATCCATATATGACATAACATAAATGAGTTTAAGAGTTTTAGTAACTAATCAGATATATTTAAATTAAATAACTTATTATTTATATAACATTAGATTTTTATATTATTAACTTGTATATATATCTATGCATTTGATCTCAGATAAAGTAATAATTTTTTTTATAATATGTATTACATAAATATTTACTGTTCCTTTTTTAGAATAATTGTTGATTTTACTTTAAATTAAATGATTTCAAATTATTATTTTAAACATTACCAAGTGTAATCAAATAAAAAATTAAATTTGCATTGCATGTATATATGAAATTTTATTTCATTTTACCTGATTTATGATCTTTCTTTTAACACAGGTTACACAATTATTCAAGTTATGCCCACAAGAATCTGCTCAAGGTATATATAGATTGGATCAAAGGGGACAAGATGCAACTATTGCATTGGGAATATATTTTCTGGAATCTGGTTTACAACATCGAGATAAAATATTACCCTACCTTCTACGATTACTACGTGGTCTTCCAAAAGCTGTATGGTTGGATGAGGTCAAATGTTCATCTAATGAACGCATTCCTGTTGCTGAGCGCTTTAGTTTCTGCTTGAACACATTACTCAGTGATGTTGCAGCTAGATGTGAACCTGTACGCGAAGAGATCATTTCTACTCAAGTAGAAATACTAGCGGTTTTAACAAATCTCATTAGGGGATTCAGAGATCAAAATGGCAATAGAGGAATGCAAGCAAAATGTAAAATTTTCTTGCTATTGTTAATTGCACTTTAGTTACATTTACATGTATGTAATTACAATGATATCTTTTTCTTCTTTCAGTGTCATTATGCAAATGTCTTGTTCCAGTATTAATTGGTTTAGCCCGTTCTATGGGCCGCTTTGCTTACACCGATCCACCCCTTTTATGTCGAATTTTTCCGAGACCGCAACCACCCCTCTCCATACCAAACACAGAAATGCGCTTAACATTGGATAAGAAACAGCATAGTTTCTCAAACTTTCGACCGATTATTCCTCGGTCTTTAAGTGGTAATTTGAATCCTCATCCAACAATAGATACTACACCAAATTTATTAATTGGGGATCATGACTATCCTTGCGCCAAACGACCATCCTTGCAGTCTTATTCATCGGTGCCCTATGATCCGGCCACATATTTTTTTAGTCGATATGGATCAAGTTTCAATCAGTTCCCACAAATGAGATGCAACGAAAGCCCTGAAAGGAGGGCTGGTATGCAATTTAATGTGGTACATTTACAAAGTGTACTGGCTTTGGCAAAAAAGTTGCTCACTAAAGAAATTTTAACATTCCTCGATGAGGAAGCTCAACAAGTTAGTTGCATTATTTTATAGTAAAATTTTATTATATTATGTTCTCAATATTTAATGATTTTCTAAATCATTTATTTTTCCTCTAGGTTTACAACTCTGGACAGGTGCAAATATTTCCTTATCGAACATTTAACGAGACAATGAATCTGGTAATGGTTGCTCTTCTACGGGAATTATTGCAAAATCAACGCGATTTGCCTACTCCTTTCACAAAGGACGTACAAGAGTTCGTGAAAGGTCTCTTTTTATCCGGTCAAACAGAATTACAATCACGTCAACACGATGCAAGCGAACGTGAAGATATGGATACTAACTTCAGAACTGTAAATAGATTTAAAGTAAATGTCATGGCTAATTCTGCGTGTGTTGATCTTCTTGTTTGGGCAATTGGTGATGAAACTGGTAAGTGAGACCATATATCAACAAATGAACTGAATATATATAGTTTGAAAAATCAGATAAATAAAACAAATATTTTTGACAATATTGTTGTTTTGATAAAATTATTTAAATCAAATTCTTCTGTATTAGTAAAATTATCTATAGATCATTACGTTATTTTTCCAGTGAGAGACCAGTATGATTTGTCCGCGCTATTCGCAGATATCAGTTCGATGCTGATTGGCGAGGGTATTCGAATTTAGCTTATATTGCATTTCGATTGATTCTCCCATATCATTAATAACCTTCAATATTTTTAACTAACGAATTAAATACCTTCTAGTCTAATAGTGCGTTCACGCGGTTCTCCCGTTCTACCCTCATTGGTCTAATTGTTATCCCAACGTAATTCTCTTAGCTGATTCTAACTGTTTGTTGGACTATTAATGCAGAAACGAACAATGAACATTCATAGACAAAATCATTATTATGACATATATACGTATTTCTATGCATTGCTGTTTTAAATTATTATCATTGAGAAATTAATTTCCACACAGAGCTCTTCGTTATTCAGTTATCCAACTTATGAATGACAGTGTGCATTTATTGGGAAACATTATTCATGGAACTAAATATTATTTACAGGTGCGGATAGTTTATGTGGTCGTTTAGTTGAAAAGATTAACTCTAATCATGGACCAAAACTGGTGCTGGCGCATATGCCTTTATTAATGGTATGCCTTGAAGGATTAGGAAAATTAGCACAAAAATTTCCTAATATAGCAAGTACATCTATATATTATCTTCGGGATTTTCTTGTTGTCCCGTCGCCTATATTACTTAAATTACACCGTCAACAAAGTGAAAGAGGTAGCATAAAATTACAAATGAATGTATTTATATGACAATGTTATATTATATATGTAATTAATGAGAAAATTATTCTTTTTAAGGGAAAGATATGCAAGATTCGAAACAAACTACTTCATCAATACAAACAGCTTTTGAAAAATTACGCGATGCGGCTATTGGCAATCTTTGCATCGCTCTGGAAGCTGCTCATTCTGTGAATCCAGATTGTGTACCGGCATTAGTTGCCAGTGTTTCGAACAGATTATTCGCGGCCGATATTTGTGATGGGTACTACATATATTGTTCACTTTATGTTAATCAATTTCCAACAATTTATATCTTCGCTTTTACGATATTTCAATTATTTATTTCAATACTTTTAGTGAATCCGATGACAGGTCGAATAGCGAATTAATTTCGAAAAATATAGTAATCATGTTGGGGCATGTTGCCGTTGCGTTGAAAGATACCCCAAAAACTATGCGTACAATATTCCCGTTTTTTCAGCAATTATTTTGTCGTACTCCGAGTGATCTTGATTTTCTGATCGTGGATCAGTTAGGATGTATGATCATTGCGAAATGCGAATCAAAGGTTCAGTTTAAGATCAATTAGTAATTACCCAGTAAATTGATAAACAGCTTCACATATAAATTACAGTGTAATATAAATTTCATAAGAATATATTTTGTTTTTAGATATACGAAGGTATAATGCAAATGTTTTCCATGTCACTGGGCTCCAGTACTGCAACTTATGCTTCGAATGATGATCGTAAACAATACTGTCACGTAGCTAAGGCAGTCACAAATGCTCTTGCAAACATAGCAGCAAATCTTCAAGGTGAATCAGAATTAGACGATTTGTTACTTCACTTGCTTGAACTTTTTGTTCAACTCGGACTAGAGGGTAAACGTGCCAGTGATAAGGCGTCAAATAACGTTTCAGTAACGGTAATTAAAATTGATGATTCAAATAACAGAATTATGTGATACTTTACAAAATTTAATTTTAACTTTGCATCCTATATTAGAAAGCAACCACTAGTGCAGGAAATTTAGGTGTACTCATCCCTGTAATCGCTATATTAGTAAGGCGACTCCCACCAATCAGACATCCACAAAAAAGGCTTTTAAAGCTTTTTAAAGACTTCTGGCTTTATTGTGTCGTAATGGGTTTCGCCGGTGATCAAGCATCAAGACTATGGCCTGCAGAATGGTACGAAGGTGTTAAAGAAATTGCTGTAAAATCGCCTTATCTCATTTCGCAAACTAGCGCACGTCTTGAGATGAGAGAATTGCAATATACGTCAGCTGTACGCAATGATAGCGTTTCTTTAAATGAATTGCAAGAATTGAGAAGTCAAATATTAAAATTAAGTACTCGGTACATATTTTTTCTACTCTTTTTGCGAATATCTCTTACAAGACAAAATTGTAAACGTTGTCTTTTTTTTTCACAGGACTAATGATATATCACAATATGTAACGAAATTGCAATTTGCACAGTGTACATATTTATTATCAGTTTATTGGTTAGAGACGTTAAGAGTAGCAAATAGTCCTGAACCTAGTTTACAACCAATAATGGAATATTTATGCGATACAGATTTGCAAAAAGATAAGAGTGGCATGTGGCAGTGTATATGTTGTGTTGCTGATTCCGTTTTTGTGAAGTTCAAAGATGTTATGCAGCGTAAACCAAAAGATGAGAGGCGAGAAAAAGAACTCGAAAATCATGCTCAATTTCTTCTGGTGTATTTTAATCATGTACATAAGCAGATTAGACGAATAGCGGATAAGTATCTTAGTGCACTGGTAGATGCGTTCCCGCATCTTTTATGGAATTGTAAAGTGCTTTGGAGTATGTTGGATATATTACAGGTACAGATGATCTTTTATCCCAGAGTATATTTCTTTCATTGTGTCGTTAATTAAATTATTATTTGTACAGATTTTATCGTTCTCGTTACAAATTGATCCAAACGAAGAGACACCAATTTTACGAATACCTGGTACACCATACAGTATTGTACTTATGGATACGCTCGAAGCAAGAGAGGTGTGTATATTATAACAGAGGCGTAGAATTATAACATGCGAATGAATTACTCACATACTAAATCTAAATTATGTTGTACAGATTATCGTGAAAGATTTCACTGCAAGGTGTAAAGGTATAGTGCAGGAGGCTATGAAGTGGGCGCCTCAAGCCACTAGATCACACTTACAGGAATATGTAAATCAAATCCCATCTTCTAGACTAAAACATCATTCTGGTTTATGTTTATCTACAGATTCAGTTCTTGAATTTGTGGACCTTGCTATTCCAGCATCGGCTTTACCAAATGTAAAATCATATTCTTAGTATGTAATTTTCCAAAATAATTCATCTTAAAAACAATGAAATCTACTCGTTTTAGACTAATTCGTTAGATAAACGGCCACGTGGTCCAAAAGGAGCCAGCTCGTGGCTTCTATCAATGATGTCCACTCGATCACGATATGCTGGAGAAATAGCGGGAATGTTATCGTTAGCGCAAACTGAATCTTCTACTTCCGAAATATCATTTGAAGAAATTAGAAACAAAGTTGTTGACTTATTAATCGATGCTGTGTGGATGGCTTGCCGTGCTCGAAATGATGTTAATCATCGTAGTGCTCTTTGGCGTGCTACTGCATTATTAATTTCTATGCCTGGTAATTGTCGAATTGTAATTATTTGATCTTGTTTCATAATTAGTTGTAATATCTTAATTTATATTTAGGGACACATAGACGTTTGCTCCATACAGTAGCTTCTTCGCAAATTGAACTGTTCACTCCTGCAGCTATGACAACAGCTGTTGAATGTTGGCAATGGATACTCACTGTACGGCCAGATTTGAAATTGCGTTTCTTACAAGAAATGCTCGTTGCGTGGCAATACACTGTTGACAAAAGAATGGGTTTGTTTGCTCCCGATGAAGAAGAAGTCAATCCATTAGCAGTATATGAAGGCTGCAAGTTAGGCCCTAATCCTCCACAAGTGAAACCTCATGATATTTGGGTTACATTTATTGTGGAATTGATTGAAACTGCTAAATATTGCTGTCAAGAAACAGTTGATATGATCGTTACATTGTTACATCGGTCATTGCCTATGACTGTTGGTGCTTCTGGCGAGGAACCTGGAATGAGTCGTCACATTGCTACGGTTGGAGTGCGCTTTAAATTACTTTCTTGTGGACTTCTTCTTCTTCAAGGAGATATTTTGTCAAGGTATCATAATATTATGATATATTTTAATAGATAATCAAGCAACTAATAATATCTGATTACAGAACATTAAGCAAAAACGTCTTACGAGAACGCGTATATTGTAATTGCTTGGATTATTTCTGTCGAGATCGTCAAGTACCAACGCAAGAACTAGAACAATTACACGAGGACTTAGTTACGCTTATACGTTTCTGGCAAGTCAGTAAATCATATTCGATTAAAAAAGTACTGATATTTTTTTGTTTTCTTCTTTTATAATATTTATCATATTGTAGGTAATGCACAGTGACAAAAAATATTTGGTAATGACTGGTACCGAAAGTGAATTTGAAATGTTAACACCCCAGTCCTGTTCTACTGGTTTCGGACCTAGTGAAACAATTAGCTCTTTGAGTACGGCCTTGGGTACAACGAATACTGAATTTTCGAAAACACCAACAAGCGTATGGATCAATACAGTTCCGATGTCTACTAGTAGTAATACATTGGGGAAACGTAGTAATCGTAGCAAGCGTGTCATGAATGCCAACGTCTTTGTAAAAGATTATATAAAAAAAAGAAATTTGATACTCGAATTACTGGCAGTTGAAATAGAAATGTTATTAGTAAGTTCAATCTTGCACTTTGTAATCTCTTTTTAATACCTTTGTTAGCACTTTAACATTTTCATTTCATAGGTCTGGAGAAATCCTAGTGGAAGACAGGAACTTACGCTTCCAGGTGAATCAAGCATTGCAGAATGGCGTGCTAAGGGAATGAATGATCGATGGCGAGAGTACACACGGCTGGCATGGGAAATTAGTCCTGTCCTTGCTATATTTTTACCAGTCCGATTAAAGAATTCAGAAATTATTATCAAAGAAGTATGTGGACTTGTTCGTCTTAAACCTGTGCCAGTTATGCACGTTCCAGAGGCTTTACAATATCTCGTTACGACTGATACATTACTTAATGATGTACCTGAAGTAAGATTTTTTGTACTGTCAATTTCAGAAGATTTAAAGAATTACAAACTCTGATTTATTAATTTAATGTTTTAGTTGGTGTATATGCTAACATGGGAGAGAGTATCACCTATTCAAGCTCTAGCATATTTTTCTCGTCAATTCCCTCATCATCCAATCTCTGCACAATACGCAGTAGAAGTGCTAAGTAGTTATCCAGCAGATGCAGTACTTTTCTATATACCACAACTTGTACAAGCTGTACGCCATGATACTATGGGTTATGTGATAGAGTTTATAAAGAAAATTGCTAAACGTTCACAGGTAAATATTAAGAATATCGCTCAATTATTAATTGTTTACAAATCAAAATCTTTATAGTTATTCTTAATCTGATATACAGGTCGTAGCACATCAATTAATTTGGAACATGTACACAAATATATATATGGACGAAGACAAACAAGCAAAAGATCCTGTTCTGTATGATATATTAGATTCGCTCGTGAAAAGTATTTTAGGATCATTGTCTGGCCCGGCAAAACAATTTTATGAAAGAGAATTCGACTTTTTCGAGAAAATTACAAATATTTCAGGGGAAATAAGGCCATATCCTAAAGGTCCTGAACGTAAAGCAGCATGCCTAAGATCTTTATCAGAAATCGGAGTACAACCAGGTTGCTACTTGCCATCCAATCCTGAAGCTATGGTAATTGATATTGATTATCAAAGTGGAACTCCTATGCAGAGGTAAGTATCTTGATTTATATTATTTGTTTATGATGTTGTATTATATGTTAATATTTGATTTATTATTGTCGTTTATAGTGCTGCAAAAGCACCGTTTTTGGCGCGTTTCAAAGTTCGAAAATATGGTATTAACGAATTAGAGAACATTGCGTTAGCAGTGTCGGCTAATGGTAGAGTTGATATTAAAAGAGAACCAGAAAAAGAGACTTGGCAAGCTGCTATTTTTAAAGTCGGAGATGACGTTAGACAGGATATGTTAGCTTTACAAGTGATCAGTATTTTTAAGAATATATTTCAAAAAGTTGGATTAAATTTATTCTTGTTCCCGTATAGAGTAGTAGCTACAGCACCTGGGGTAAGGAATCTTATAGTCATAAAAAATAGTTTTGATAAACGTTACTAAACTGAAAAAAATTACTATTTTAGTGCGGTGTAATAGAATGTGTACCTAATGCAACTTCACGCGATCAACTTGGTCGCACCACTGATATTGACATGCATCAATATTTCATTACACGTTATGGAGATGAAACTACAAAAGAATTTCAAAATGTACGTCGTAATTTCGTAAAATCAATGGCTGCTTACAGCGTAATTACATATCTTCTACAAATAAAAGATCGCCATAATGGGAACATTATGTTGGATACTGAAGGTCATATCATACATATAGATTTTGGTTTTATGTTTGAAAGTTCGCCTGGTGGTAATTTAGGCTTCGAGCCTGATATTAAGCTGACGGATGAAATGGTGCTCGTAATGGGAGGTAAAATGGAAGCCGCGCCTTTCCGTTGGTTCATGGAATTATGTGTACAGGCTTTCCTCGCCGTAAGGTAAGTTGCTAATAAATTTTAAAAAAGGCAAATTCTAGAAATTTACAAATTAAATTGTAACATTGTTTCACAGACCTTATCAAGAGGCTATTATTTCTCTGGTTTCTCTGATGCTTGATACTGGATTGCCATGTTTTCGTGGACAAACGATAAAACTTCTACGCGGCAGATTCGTGCCGACAGCAACTGATCGCGAAGCGGCGGCCTATATGCTCAATGTAATACGTAACAGCTACCTCAATTTCCGTACGAAAACTTACGATATGATACAGTATTATCAAAATCAAATTCCCTATTAAATTAACATTTTTAAATAACTTTCGTTGACGATTGTTAATTCATAATGAAGGAATTCATTATCTTTGCAAAGATTGTTAAATAGATACACCATGTATTGTTAGATACAGCAACATTGAGTCTGCTGTTTGTACAAACCCCTTGGTGTCAATGTTATTCTTAGATTCACATAAATTTTATGGAAGCATTAGGCTCTGAATGTATATAACAATAATGTATTATAAATTGGAAAAGAATTATCCTATATGCTTGCTATCAAGCAGAAGATGTGTATAAAAGAGACATTCCTCTGTTTATTATTTATGTACTGTTATCAGTTAAATAACAGAGTAATTAAACACTTACATGTAAAAATTTCAAATTATAAATTAAAACTTCAAATAACAAGTAAAATTTCTATTTAAGCTAATTCTATTTATTATATATTACATTTAAAGTATAACTAATATTTATTTTATTGCATTCATTTATCTGACAACTGTTTCTTAAGTGGATTCAAGTTTACTTGAGACAAATCAACTTTTCTGAAAAAAGTCAATATATATTAAGTCACTAGCATTATAAGAAATTGAATAATAAAGTAAAAATTAATAAATACTTGATGCAACTAAAATATTAATGTAGTATGTACAATAATTTTCATTTGTTTTGTTGTCAGCTTTGTATATATGAAATGTTAGAAATATATTTACCCTGCTTCTAACTGGTCTGCTGTATATATCACACTTGGTGATTCTACAGAACGCCTGGCATCACGAGTGTAATAATATACTTTTGAACTTTTATGATAAGGCCCGAATGGTACAAGAGGCGGTGGTTGTGTACGTGCAGAAATGTTATCTGCATATCTCAAACCATCATCAAATGGTCTCTGTAATGTTCGTTTTGCATCACGTAAATTAATTTTTTTACTGCATTCTACATAAACATAACTATCACTATTTATTTTGACATAATAATATTTGATACATAACCAACAAAATGGATGCACTCGCGAAAAGTAAAATTTAACTGCATTAACTAAACTTACACATTAGCAATATTAGATCTGAATTATTATGTGAAAAATAGTTTCAGCGTGATAAAAAACTGATAAAAAAAAACAAGTTACGTAATATTTATAAAAATAAATAATATGAAATGTAGATCAAATATAAATCAAAACGTTGAAACGTTACTTACACCTCGAAATATATTTCGAATCGCTTCTAAAAGAGTTGTGGTACGGAAAGCTTTCATTTTTATTATTTTATTTAATTTCTGAGTTGAAATAAATAAATTCCAATGCGAAAATCACTGTGGACTGACCAATTCTAAACTTAAATACTCAGTTGTCATCTCGGTCTCGAAGTTCGATAATTTAACACAATTTTAACTATCGATAATTATTTTCAATTATCGAATGTATCGAATACAAACATTTTAAACTGTCTTAATCTTTTCTACATAAAAATTATGAAAAAATAATATTTTATACACAAAATGATTAATAATTCAATTTTTAAAATAAATTTTTTGCATTTTATTGGTTAAAAATAGTTTTAAGATATATTAATTTTGAAGGTCAAATCATTCTCAAGAAGACCTCAAAACCACATTTTCTTACAATCTACTAAAGATCTTTATAACTATAGAAAAGATTCATATTATAAGAGTAAATATTTTTTTAAGCATTCTATTTTATAACGAAAAAATATTTTTTATTATACTTGAACGCAAAATAATTTCAAAGCAAAGAATACACATATTAGGGCAATTTCATAATCATCGGCATATTTATCTAAAAAAATTCCCCAGTAATATATAACGCCACCTCGAGCACAAGATCTAAACTCTAATATTATCTCATATTTTCTTTTTGTGTAACTACAGATTATTTTTCTGTTCGCCCTGTATGTGCGTATGTCGATGGTCATTGATTGCAATTTCGTGTGATACGCCATTACTTCAACCGAACACTAAGGTCATCGTTTTATCAATTCAAGCGCTCGATATACAATTCGTCAGCGTATTTGCGTACGTGATTCAGCAAAACGATAATTGTATCTCGTAACTAACCGGTAGTTGCTACGAATACGAATAAGCTACATTCTATAAACGGTTGTTGTCGAAGAACGTAGTCGAGAAACTTCTAAAGATGGTTAAAGCCGTGTGCGTTCTTCAGGGTGAAGTCAAAGGCACCATTTACTTTGAGCAACCGGTAAATAATATTTCTTCAATCAATTCGACGTAATATTCATTATATTGTATTATTATTATTTTTTACAATATGATTATTGCACAGGACAACTCTAGTTCAGTCAAGGTCACAGGTCAAGTAACCGGTTTAAAGCAAGGATCGCATGGCTTTCATATTCACGAATTCGGCGATAATACTAACGGTAAAAGGCTATTGAAGTTTTATGATTTTATTCTTCATAATTGAAAGCTTCTGAATGCTAATCAAACATAATTTGTTTCATAAAAAAAATAGAAATTTTCTTGTCTTAAGCGATAGTAGATATAAGGCCACTAAATAACATAATTAACACGTATCATTCATTTTAATTTGCATCAAGTATTTTATGTTTTCACATCAATGATCAATGCCATAATCACTTTTTTTGTGCATATAGTTAATATACATAAATAATTGTGAGAAATTGTTTATATAGCTACACAAAGTATAAAAAAAGTTCCTAAAATTTATTATATCAATAAACAGGTTTAATTAATTAACAGGTTGTACAAGTGCTGGACCACATTTCAACCCGTTAAAAAAAGATCATGGTGGTCCTGATGCAGATGTGCGTCATGTTGGAGATTTAGGAAATATTGAAGCAAATGCAAGTGGTGTTGCTAATGTCGACATAACTGACAAGATCATCCAACTTCAAGGACCACACAACATTATTGGTAGAACTCTGGTGGTGAGTATTGTGTAATGCTTTTTATGAATTTTTATAATTTTGGATCAAGTATAATTTGGTTCTTTTTCTTTTTGATGATAGGTTCATGCTGATCCAGATGATCTTGGCAAAGGTGGAGTTGAATTATCTAAGACAACAGGAAATGCTGGAGCACGATTAGCTTGTGGTGTTGTTGGAATTACAGCCTAAATATATATTCTATTATGATATTACAAATAATGTAAAATATCATTAGAAACTAAACAATATTACATCTGTTACAGGTTTGAATATGAGTTCAAATATCATTCCCAATTTCGTATAATAAATCTTTTTTCATATGTAATCCATTGTATAATTACAATAAAGTAATGGTATATGGTATATTTTATTAAATCAGATATATGTATCACAAGTTATATTTAAACGTCCTATATAATTTATGAAATAAAAATTAGCTGTACTTAAAATTAGACAGTTCTATGTAGTCAAGAATACATAAATTACAATATTTTCTGCTGCAATATTCCTGCAATAATTCATATTTTTAGTAAGTTATCATTATAGAATCAGTACTTATATTCTAAAAAATAATTACGTATAAAAAAATATTGCATATTACATCATTGAGAAATATAGTTTGTAAAATCGATATAGTCAAATTATAAAATCAGACATTAATTTAAAGTATATAGAAGAAGATAATCGTGTTATTTATTACAAAATTATAAAATTAGTATATTTTTTTATGTAGCTCGTTAAAAATAGGATTAGTTATTGCGAACATCGTCTTACACCATAGAATATATAAAACTCTAAGAAGGAACTAGTTTTTTCCTAAACTTAAAGTAAGTGTTTATGTTGGTAATATGTTTCTTCAACTAAAGTGACATTGTCAGCACGTTTGAAAGCTCTTGAAAAATACTTGTCATATATTTTTGACAAATAAATTTCAATTGTTTAAATCACCATAACGTAATATAAATATGAAAAATAAATTTGTTACATCTTCATCGAATTTTCACATTATTTTGATGTTATTAGTAGAAATTTTAAAATAATCACGGGGTTAGAATGTATTAATACCTAAAAGAAAGAATTAATATTTTACAGTAATTATTTCATAAAATTATATTACAAGTTGAACAAAATGTAATATAAATAACGTGAAATAAAAATTGTTGTTCCAAGTAACAATTTTGTTAATTACGAATGAACAATATTGTAAATAACTTTCATTGAATATAAACAAATTGACAGGAAAATTCTGTTAAATGTATGTTTTGTGTCGCCGAATATCGTAGCCTAAACAAATTAAAATGTTTAAGCGAATAGAAATTAACAGAGAAAACGAAAACACTATACCTGCCAAACGGCCAAAATATGACATAAAAAGAGACAGTTTGGTAGGTACTTCTACAAGGAACAATGAGTCAAGAAATAAAAAGTCTGGAAAATCAGATGATGTCTGGGGAGATGATTTTGCAGAAGAAGATATTGAAGAAATGGACTTTGTGGCAACTCAGGCTTGCTTGCAGGTTTTATTTATTTTGTATATTTTACATGTTCTTGCGCTAGGTGTACTTTTAATTATTCATGATTATTTTATTTTTAGGATGATGGTTTTAGGAGCCAACTAATGACAGATCAGAAACCATCTACTAGTAAAGCGATTCCTAATTTGAATGCTCATAAATCAAAACCTATAAATCCATCAGAGTATAATAGTCAAGTGAAAGAAATAGAGAATTCACAAGATATAAGCACCATAGTTTCTGTCAATTACACACAGTTCAAGAATAAATTAATAAATAAGAAAATATATAATTCTACATTTAATCTGGATGAACATCCTATTACAGGTAACATTGTGGCAAGTTATGATGTTTTATAGATCATTGTATTGCAAAATTTACAATTTTAGAATCAGAATACCTAAAGGAATTGGAAAAGTTGAAAGTTGAAAATCAGAAATTGTTAAATGATTTTATAACTAAAGATGGGGAAGCAGTGTTTTTGCGAAATCAGCTGCAACAAACACAGTTAAGAGCAGAGAATGACAGATTAGAAAAAAAACAGTTTATTGAAGAACAAGAAAATCGACATAGAATGGAAATTAATGCCATTTGTAAGGAGAAGGAAAATTTAAAAACGCAACTTGAATTACAGGTCAGTAGTTCATAAATAAGTTCTTTTAATTTTGTACAATAAATTTTAATTTTCTTTTTTTTTTTAGACGTTTGAGATAGGAAATTTAATGGAACGTTGTAAATTGTTAGAGAGTGGAAATGTTAAATTAGTAGAACCACATGTAAATTTTAATATTTCTACAAACAGAAGCAAAATTAATTCACCAATGAATCGGTAAATATTTAAACTACTTATATTTTAAATTTTTTTTTGTATTTATTAAAAAATTATTATGTTTAGATCATCAACTACAAAATCAGTTAAAGTCAAAGAAACTTGTGTACAAACTAATGCATTTAATAAAAGCACTTATGTCCTTAAAATATGGAATTCATGTAAGCAGATTGTAACTTAAAAAACATTAATTTGTACAATATTGATTAATTATCGTAATAATAAATTTAATAAGAACATATTGCAGATTTTCCTCTTACAGAAATACCAAAATTAATATACGATCCACCGCAATTAGAGAAATCTGTGGTTGATATTCAAATTATAGAAAAAATTGGAAGGCGAAATTTGCCGATTTTACAAGAAGAAGACACATACAGAATATTCGGTAAAATTTTTTTTTAACATCTTATATTATAGCATAGTATATCTTTGTTTGGTTATATTTCCGTGTTTTTTGTAGAAAATCCAGAATTAGTAAAACCTGTAACAACAGTGATAGACGATAAGAAATTATCGGTTGAATTTATTTTGCCGGAAATAGCTGCTCTTCAGCGGAAAACGAGTTCAGAACTCGAAGCAGAGAAAACTGTACCAATAATAAACAAAGTAAGTTATTTTCAACATACATTTTAATCTGTTTTGTCAAATGATAAAAAATATTTGCTGATAATTATATTTTAGTTAGTTTGTACTGCGAGGGAATTGATCTTAAATATAATAATTGTTCTACAAACGATCTCTCAAGCCATGAGAAATGACGACATTCGAGATATGAATGATATTTATTTTTCTTCCTTGTATTCGACTTCTGATTTCAATGGAAAATGCATATGTTCTGCAAATGCATGGCACGAGTGCGAACGTGGTGTCGAAGCTAGAAGAGTGTTTGGCGTGTTGTCGTACGTAGCCGTGGAATCGACTTACCTCAGCAAGTATATCGCAGGAAAGACACGTTTACTTGTAGAAGGAGATGAATCTTACAACCATTACTCGTGCAAAATGTTTCGTTATAATACTTGGTTAGAACAGGGATGTGAATTTGAGATGCTTAAAATGATATTGCAGTTCGTTGTTTTAGTTGGATCCACGGTAATATTCTACATATATTGGTAATTAAAGAGAATGAATGTTTTTACTAATTTTATTTTTTATCATTATTAGAGAAGGTCCCATCAATTTAGTGGTCTTTTATGTGCAATTATGATGGTTATCTACAATGTTCATGAAAAAATTGAATACTGCTCTGAAGGGTATGGAATATCTTTTTCCTCAATAAATTTTATATTTTAATATTTTATAAATTTAAAACTATCTGTTTCAGAATGGAATATATTTACCAGATATTTAAAGAAATAGTATTTTCTAGGCCTTTGCCATACTGTTACGCGCTTGTCAGTAATTTAATGATGATTTTTATGAAATCTACGACATATCTGCGGAAACTCTGTATTAATTCAAGTATGATGTTTATTATATTAATA